TGGAAGCAAGAGTTTGGAGTTGCGTAGGGTTTTAGTTTTGTTTCTTCTCCCGCTGTCGTAACTCTTGCAATAGGTCATGGTCTGGCGTCACGTCTTGGATTTAAAATGCAAGTAATTTGCAAAACTTGATGCCATCACTGCCCATTTCCTGAGAGTATAAGTCAGTCACCCTTTAAAGCTGTGGGTTGCAATAAAAACACAACTAGCAAGAGTTTGGAGTTGCGTAGGGTTTTAGTTTTGTTTCTTCTCCCGCTGTCGTAACTCTTGCAATAGGTCATGGTCTGGCGTCACGTCTTGGATTTAAAATGCAAGTAATTTGCAAAACTTGATGCCATCACTGCCCATTTCCTGAGAGTATAAGTCAGTCACCCTTTAAAGCTGTGGGTTGCAATAAAAACACAACTGTGTTAAATACCAAATGACCTGTTACTACTTCTCTTTTGAGTTTACATAGGTCTGGGCTATGGAGACAAGTGAAGACTTGCCTAATCTGTGTAGATGGCCTTCATCATGGCAGGGATAGAGCCTGTAGCAGAAGAGGAGGAATGCTCTTCCTTTAACTCTTACTTCCCCCTTAGAGTGGAGGACACATAGCATGTGGCTTATTGCTGAGCCAAATTGTCAGCTGATGGCATATCCTACCCAACTTCTGGTGGTGGCAAGCTGTCATTTCTGTCTAATAAAATCAGACCCTTACAGAAGCTTTTACAGTGTGTGTTTGTGCAATTTGGCACTGCTCTGACTTCAAGTCCCAGCTAAGAACCCAAGTCATGACAACGTAAGAGTCAGGATATAGAAGCAGTTGTCTGCGATGATGTTGGTACCAGGGGTGGCAGTTGTAACTTTTGCACTTCAGCTGCAGCATCCTAGATTCAGGGTCTTCCCTTCCAATTTCCCATCTGCCCTTTCCCCTGGTACGTCAGGATGGTTGACAAAGTGCTGTGCTATGCATTCAAGAGGAGAGGGCACCTCAAAGTTTACTCGCATGTGGTAGCGGCAGCCCAGACTGAGCACTGGGTGTGAGTAAGTGCAGGCAGGTCAGTGGGCAGGTTGGGCAGTGCACCTGCATGAGCAGTTTTTCCTTGCCTCTTCCATGTAAAAGGCAGAAAGATAAATGGCCTGCAGGTTGGCAAATGACTCTGCAGAGTGATACGATTGATTCTCCTGGGGCAAAGCTGAAGTCTTCGGCTAAGAAGTAGTAAAAACATAATTAGCTCACTATTAATACAATATTGCAGATATTATATTAATGTATAATAATATGCTGGATCTTTTAATTAATAAGAATGTGAGTGCTAGTGATGTTCCTTTTTTCTTTTTCTTATGTATTTTAATTGATCATATGCCTGTTGCCTAACTATCAAAAAAAAAGAAGGAACTGAGATAAACTTTTCAGTAAGTTTGGTAACTTCCTTTCAAACAGTAGTACAGTTCTGATTTTTTGTTTTTGTTTTTTAAATATTTTCTTTTTTCCCCTTCCCTTGCTACCACCTCTTCTGAAAAGTTCATGACACGACTCCATTTGCAGTCCAAGCGGAGGTTACACTGAAGACAAACTTTTTTGGAACCAGGAATGTTTGCACAGAATTGTTGCCGCTTGTGAAGCCTTATGGTAAGTGTAACATAACAAGTAGGGAGATAGTTTTATATGAATTGTGGTCCTCATTAAATGGGGAAATTCTGTCCTGGCACACTGCCCCATAGCAAGAGGAGGGCACCTTGCTGTGCTGTAAGTAAGAGACTAGATGGCCTTTCATGACACCCAAAACATCTCTGCTGTGTATATTTATTTCTATACATTCTTCTGTATGGATTGAAGTGGAATTCTCATGGTGCCCTCAAGAAGACATGAAGAACTTGCCCGTGTTCTGTTCATGTATCTGCCTACATAAATTGTTACTGCTTCAAAAAGGATTTTTTGATTATACAACTAGGATAGGAAGTACCTAAAAACAGTGTTTCAGCTGAGTGTGATGCAGCATGACTGATCTTGCTTCTGCTGAAGAAACCCCAATAGGCTGTTGGTCTGTCTCTATCTAAATCCCAGCCTTTGCTGTATTTGCAAGTGTCTAGTGATGTACTTATAAATGGCACTTGAAGATGTACATTAAGTTACTGTGACTTGGTGATGTTGGGAGGAACTGGAAGAAAACACTTTACCAAAAATGGCAAATAGAATGGATCTGGGACAAAGATGATAGATGCATCGATAATAAAGGGGTGTTAGCAACATGCAAGTAACCTGTACCCATCAGGTGACTGTCCTGCACAGAATGTTCCTGTTCTCAAAACCCGAGAGCACTGGAAGTGCCCTGGAATGCTACTGACATATCATGGATTATTTGAAAGGACCATATTTGGATCCAATACCCACACAAATCTAAGGGGGTTTTTTTAAATACCGTTCTATTCAAGATTTGTGATCACTAGATTTTTTTCATGGATATTTGGATAAGCGCTTGCTGCTATGAGTGCTTGTTGTCTATGCCAACATTTAAATACATCTAGGTTCTTAAGGGAAAAGAAGTCGAGTAGATGAGCGAGAAGTTGGGAACTCTTAGTCCCTTGGGAGGAAGGAAACGATAGAGTAAGTGAATTTTGGTGGCTGGTAGGGGAGAGAGTAAACAGTGCCAAAATTGCAATTCAGTCCTGTTATACTAAGGGTGAAGAACAGATGTGTTAAGTCATTAACAGAAAGGATTAATTTCTGTGGCTTTTAAGATCTAAACCGTAATGTTTATTCCCTAGTTCATCGCCTGAAGGGCTGTGAACTAGCAAGAAAGAGGGAAACAGTGTAACAATTTTGGGGAAGATACTGATTCAGCTGACTCATTTGTCTGTACTGAAGAGCTGGGAGATCTATAGCTTGCAGCAATTTTGCACAGTGAGATTTGTGTATCTTCAGGTATTCTGTAACCAAGCTGATAGTCTTGCTGCATTAATACCTAGACTGCTTTTGTTGAATTCTGTATTATTCTGGCTTTTGAGGTACACTCTCATGGCACTTTACTCAAGTTGTTGGAGAAGTGAGAACGTTTCCACCCAGAACTTTTGAGAGTAAAGTCTGGCTGCCATTACTGAGAAAGCCACTTGCTGCTATGAATATGCCTACAGATTGTAACACGCTGTTTCCTGGAAGAATACCTGAAGTTCGACAGAGAGCTTCTGCAGGTTCACACCTTAAATTACCCTCTGTAATGGAATTCACTAGAAACACTTGACATTGAGTTAACTGCGATCTTCCAGAAGCTCTGCAAAATAGCCCGCACAAAATATTTTACAGTTATTCACCTAAGCAGTGAATATATAACTGTAGAGCAAGCCCACTTCAGTGTCTGGGCTTGTTTAATGTGTGTAAAAGTAATGTCTTTATTCTCTTTTACCAGGCAGGGTGGTGAATGTCTCTAGCATGGTAAGTAGCTCAGCGCTGGGAGGCTGCAGCCGAGAACTACAGCAAAAGTTTCGCAGCGACACCATCACTGAGGATGAGTTAGTGGAACTCATGACCAAATTTGTGGAAGATACCAAGAAAAGTGTGCATGAGAAAGAGGGTTGGCCAAATACTGCCTATGGGGTATCCAAAATTGGTGTCACAGTCTTGTCCAGGATTCAAGCCCGGATGTTAAATGAGAAGAGAAAAGGTGACCATATCCTTCTCAATGCCTGCTGTCCTGGATGGGTGAGAACAGACATGGCAGGTCCTAAAGCCACTAAATCGCCAGATGAAGGGGCTGAGACCCCAGTTTACTTGGCCCTTTTGCCTTCTGATGCTGATGGTCCTCATGGCCAGTTTCTTAGTAACAAAACTGTTCGAACCTGGTGAGCTTGTGTAGGCAGACCCATGTTTGTGGCAATGTGACTGTGGATGTGCCTGTGCCCTGGTAGGGCATTTACCCAGAGCAGTCTCATCCTGTCCACAGCAGCAGGGTCCTTTATTGTTACAGTGAGGGTTACAGTTCTGGTACTCCTCCGGGATTAAGTCTGCCCTAGGGTACTTCCCAACGGTCTCCATTAGCCTGCTCACATCATTGACTGCGTGGCCCAAAATCTGATTTGTGGGTGTTTCAGCCCAGATGATACAGGGTAATTTGGTGTTGCCCTAACACAGAGGTGCCTGACCTTGTTTACCTGAATTTTTTTTTAATTAAATCATTGCCAGCCCTTCTCCCAGTCTCCCGAGACAGATCTCTGTTGTGGCATTGGGATGAGGAAGCAGATGCCTTACTCTCAGCTCAATAGATGTTTCTAGGGACCATAGTTGCCTCTTGAGGTTGTGCTGGGTTTCTTAAAGGGGGAGGGGGTTGTTCTGAGATCTACAGTCTGACCAGTTTGGGGGGAGGCTAATAAGACCAGAACAGAATCACTGCTGTGTAGAGATTTATTACTATCAGAACAAAATGGAATTAGGTGAAAATAAAAATAGCAGTGATGTACCACTAATAAGACTTTATTAATATATATATGTCAATAAATGAATAGTTACTGATTTGTATTCTTCCAACTGGCTTATTCTGATACTAGAGATTTATAATGTTTGAAAATACACTTCCATTTTCTGCAGCTAAGTTTGAAGCTGGAATGTGTGATGTTTGGACTATATAAAGAGGAAAATAAAGTACAGAACTGATACAGCAAACTATTCTTCAGGACTGCCAGTTCATTTGTTGCACAGCCAGAAGTTTCTGTATTAAAAAACTGGATTAAGTGCTCTCCATGTACTAGAGAAAACGAACTGTAAATGTTACAATACTGTTTCAGGGTAGGACTGAAATACATAATTAACGTGGTAACCAAAACAAGTTGTGTAAGCAAAGTCACGAGTAGAAGCAGTGACATGGAGAGCACCCAATTTATTTTCTCACTTTAAATGTTGGTTGTTGCATTTCAAATGCTTCGTCTTGAAAGGTTGCCACGGCACTTCCAGCTGTAGAGGTGGAGCCGTGTGGCAGCAGAGGCAGCCTGGGGGTTGGCAAATGCCTCTGCGGAGTGATACAGCTGGCTCTCCTGGGGCAGACAATCGCCTATAAACCTGTCACTGGTAATGACAAATCGGCAACGGACAAGTTAATTCTTAATCGGGAGTCAACAAGACAATGCCAAAGTGGCTTAGCTAACAGGGTTTAGTGTTGGTTTCCCCTGGTACAGTTTGTGTTCAGGAAAGCCTTGGACCAGAAGACGCTGGACATAAATAATATGTGTGGGTTTGGTAATCGCTTATCAGCACAGCACAAAGGTGCGATTATTAGTTGGTCTTTTAAGGATACAGTAGCTATTGTTTTTATAAAGGTGGAAGAATTGCCAAATGAGTCATGCCCCAGAGCTCACTGAAGAGCAGGATGAGCGCTGTCCAAAAGTTCTCATGTTAATCTATTCTGAATTAAGAAAAAAAATCTGAGGCCTTCAGTTTAAGGGCAGCAGATCAGTTACAAAATCCCTGTATAAAGTTTTTAATGTTTTTTACATACTATTGCCAGACTGCCTATGGTATGATAGCTCCAAAAGCCACCTGGGTTCATGCAGTAACTTGACTATCGTTCTGATGTACAACAGAAAGAATCATAGAATCATTTAGGTTCGAAAAGACCTTTAAGATCATCAAGGCCAACCGTTGAAGAGAACCAGGGTTTGTGAGTGCTCCTCTAGTTGTGTTATGATACCTTGGCAAAATAGAACATGGCTGTTCTCATTTAGTAATAATTTGTGCACAACTTTTAAGAGCTGTAATCCAACAGGGCAGAATCATACCTAGTTCTTCATACTTGAAATGCTGCTTGAGTCTTTCAAGTTTCAAAAGTTGCGTGCCCTTCCCGTTGCTGTGTACAAACTTTCCAAACAAACCTTGACCCAGCTTTCATGTGGTTTGTGCAAAGCCCAGGCTGAAGAGTCCTAGGTCCGTTGACCATAGCTGGATAGTATCCATTGTTAAGTACAAATTGGTTCCTAAGTATCTCCTATGCTCTATAAAGCTCCTTCTTAACTCTAACTCGGGATCCAGGGTTTGGTTTTGGTTTTTTTTACGTTCAAGCCAAACAAATTATAAGTTTGAAAGTTCGTTACAAAAGATGTATTTCAAATACTTGTATTAAGCCCTTCCGTGGTGCTTGTTCTTTGTTAAGCCTGCTTACCCTGTTTCAGGGTAAGGAAGCAAAGTGGAAGATGATGGCTAAGTAGTCATCTTCAGAAATGTCATTCCTCATGGTGAAATTAATTATAAAACAGACAGTTCCTTATGGTATGAACAGAAACAAGAACAAAGGACAGATCTTTTCACAGCCTCTGCAGCTGTGGTGTGGTACTGAAGGAAGGAAAAGCATCTGCATGGATACAAGCTCAAGCTATAGGAGGTGCAAACGAGGCAGAAAATACCCATAGAATCATAGAATAGAATCACAGAGTGTTTTGGGTTGGAAGGGCCCTCTAGAGGCCGTCTAGCCCAATTCCCCTGCAGTGAGCAGGGACACCTTTAACTGGATCAGGTTCCTCGGAGCCCCGTCCACCCTGGCCTTGAATGTTTTCAGGGATGGGGCCTCCACTACCTCTCTGGGCATGCTGTTCCAGTGTTTCACCACCCTCATTGTAAAAAATTTCATCCTTATATCTAGTCTAAACCTACCCTGTTTTTTTAAAACCATTACCCCTTGTCCTGTCACAGCAGGCCTCACTAAAAAGATTGTCCCCGTCTTTCCTATAGGCCCCCTTTAAGTACTGAAAGGCCGCAATCAGGTCTTCCCCGCGGCCTTCTCTTCAGATTGAGCAACCCCAACTGTCTCAGCCTGTCCTCACAGGAGAGGTGCTCCAGCCCTCAGATCATTTTTGTGGCCCTCCTCTGGACCCAACTGTTCCATGTCCTTCTTGTGCTGAGGGCTCCAGAGCTGGATGCAGTGCTCTGGGTGAGGTCTCATCAGAGCAGAGTAGAGGGGCAGAAGCCCCTCCCTCAACCTGCTGGCCACGCTTTTGATGCAGCCCAGGATAGGGTTGGCCTATTGCTGGCTCATGTCCAGCTTTTCATCCATCAGTACCCCCAAGTCCTTCTCCGCAGGGCTGCTCTCGATGTCTTTATCTGCCAGCCTGTATTGATACTGAGAGTTGCCCCGATCCAAGTGCAGGACCTTGCACTTGGCCTTGTTGAACATCATGTTGGCTGATCGCAGGACCAGTCAGAGTCAGGAAGGAGCTTTTGCAGGAGAAGCACATCCCCCGGTGACACGGGTAGGAGGACCATGTCCTGGGAACAGAGCTGGGACGACGTGAGGCAGGCTGCCAGGGGAGGGCTGTTCGCAGAGAGCAGAATCAAGAGGACAGGCTGTACAGCGTGTGTGGCAGGCTGGATCTTTGGACAGGGCTTGCATTGTTCAACCAAAATTTCTTTTTTATTTTTTTTTTTTAAGCTGCCTCCCTGCTTCTCTCCCATGTCCGTTGTGTCTGAAGTATTTTGTTGCTTTCAGATTCTGGCATGCTTGCTGAGTGGTTATTGTGTAAAGTTTAAGGGATAGGAAAGGGATGAAATAATAATGACCCGTTGTACTGTATACAACTTTCACGGGTGATTTACTGTTTTTCTTTTTACAGTGTGTCACCACCATTTTTACTTGGGAATTTATTAGCCAAAGAAAATGCCTGGCAATGCAGTAGTTGTGGTGACATGGGACGATAAAGGAACTGGATTCACAACTGTGAGAGCTCAGTGGAGGCAGTTTCTTGGGAATGCCGTAGCTTGTGCAGGGCGGCAGTCAGGCAGCTGTGGCAAAACTTTGGGAGCGGAAGCTGTACCTGCTGCTGCGTCAGCTGGATATGAACAGCATGCGAGGCCTCTGGGACCTTCTGAAGGAGAAGCTACAGACGTCGCAGTGTGCTGGTTGGCAGCGCAGCCATCGTTTTCAAAGGCTGTGGTAGGCCGGCTGCTCAGCAGAGCTTTGCTTTGGAAAGCTGGTGATCTGAAGGTGTGGGGGCAATCAGTAAGGAGACTGGTCTGCTCTAGAGCTTTTTGAATCTAAAGGGGATTGCAGCCAGGTCATTTCTATCTGGATCCCCTGCGATGCCAGTAACTATGGTGTGGGCCAGGCTTTTGTACCTGTTGCGGTTCCAATGCTGTGCAGTGCAGTGTGTTTGGTTTTCAAAACTGCACTGTAGACATTGCAGTGTGTTTGGTTTTCAAAACTGCACTGTAGACATGCCTAGAGAGTTTGAGGTCAATTTACCTAAAAAGATGAAGAGAATATACCTAGCTTAGCATGTTGTTTCCTTAAATTTTCCATTTAAGTGTTTTTCTACATAAATAATGATCATGACAAGAACTCTGAGAACTTATTTGTATCCACAGATAATTTTAATTGAACCCATCTCTTACAGTAGTATAGCCCAACATGTGGGCAGTGCCCTGAGTTTGAATGCTGCGGCCTTCCTCTCAGCATAGAAACATGTCACAAAAATTTAGATTATATATGTTGCCCAGTATTATTTGAATGCACTTAAATGCAAAATGTGATTCAAACTCCAGTCTCACGTTAGTATAGGGATGTTTTTAGCTTTTTAATCTCAAATAATGAAAAGAAGAGAAGGAATGATAATGATGTTTTACAATGGAAATTTTTCAGTGTTCATTTTTGTTCTGCAAAATCTTCATTTTGGAGCTGACAATAAAGGAAACTGCCATCTGGACAGTTTGGGTCATGGAGGCCAGTTTTCATCCTCTCTAAGACCTCTTCACAAGGTTACCTGCTCGTAGCGCTTACATCTGAAGGAACAGTCCCCAGATTCACACTGCCCAGTTTGGATTGCCGTCTTGTCTCTGGACCCCCACTCACCGGTCTGGAGTTGTGGTTCCTCAGCACTCTTAAAATCCTACCCTGGCTCTCTTCAGGTACCTACCCGCATACCCAGACACCCTGATCTGACGGGCGTTGTCTGTTGTGTTTGACTGGAGTTACACAGTACTTACAGGACGTACAGCAGTAGTGGCTCCAGTGGTGTTTTATTTGTGAATGTATTGTTTTAGACTCTGCTAGGGAGATAAAATGCTGAAAGCAAGCAACTTGTTAAACTTCCTTCAGTAAATAATAGAAATGCTACATCGGTTCACGGTAGAAATTTTATATTTATATTGTGAGGGATATTTCAAAAAAAACCCCCAATAAAATCTGACAAGTGAGGTACGATTGGAGTAGACTTTTCCAGTACAAAGCAAGCGGATTTATGTCAACGTCACATGGAAGTTAACGTGAATGTTCATTAGATTGAAATGCAGCCTGGCTGTCTCCAGGCGGGATTACATCAGTACGCCTCTTACTTGATCCCATCCCAAGGGCCAGGATTTAGCATGGGCAGCGCTGCCGTGGTGCGTATAACGAACTGATTTTTAGCCTTTCCTGAAAAGAAGTCATGAATACTCAGTATGACAGGCATGCTGTGAATTAGCACAACCTCTGATACAAAAACCAGCATTTGGAATTATTTTTCCAATGATTTACCAACCAGCAGGTTTGTAAGCACGAGAGCAGAGGAAGCGGGTCGGTCTGGAGGTTGGCTGGTTGTGGTGCACGCTCTAATCAAAGCTTCCCAGCAGCTGAGCACTTCCATGGCCTCACCATCAGGAGATGTGGCCGGTGCCAGCCAGCAGCTGACCTGGTGCCTCAGCCACTCCCCCAGCCGGAATCCCCACCTGACTGCCTGATTCCCTGACATTCTAGGAGACCTCTGTCTTGCGGTAGAAATGGCAAGTGGGTTTGAAAGCTAGGTGGAAATCAGAATGAAATGAATACAGCTAGGCACCCACATGCAGCTGGTGCAGTCAAAAAACACAAATTTGTGAGAAAAAGAACTTCTGAAGGGATAGCAAACCCTCAGGAACTGATTTTAAAGTATCCTAAGTAACATGCTGTATTTTAGGACACAAATGTCACGTGTTAAAGACATCATCAAAAGTACAAGTTCTTTGCTCAGTCGGGCACGTATTCAGGAGCACTGACCTTCATTTCCAAGAACTAAGCTACGCTGCCTTGAAAGTTACAAAACCCTAACATTTAGAAATTGAAACTTAAATCGGTGGCATTGCAGCTTAGAAGGATAAGCCGTGTTGATGCCCATGGTACCGAATATATCTACTGCCATGTATCCCTAAGGAAAAATGTTACATTCAAATGATCAAGGCAGTTTATTGTGTTAGGAGGAAGCCTTTGTGCATTCTAATACACCACCTCCTTTCTGAAGATTTGTCTTTTTAAATGACGCCAGATCTGGAATAAAGCTGTAAATCACTGCAAAACGTTTTAATATTTTGTCACACCAATTTCCCACACGTGTTACAGGTTTCTCGGAGGTTACCCGGCCTTTCAGGCGTCCACGCTGACCTCAGCGCTGTGGGCAGGTGCTGACTTCCCAAAAGGATGGAATGTGCAATAGCCACCGCATGGGCTGGGTGAAAGCTCGTGAACAGCTGCTAAAATTCTGTAGTGAGATAGCACATGCTGAAGCTAGGCCAGCCGTGCTTTTTGGTACCTGCTCCGGCTTTTGGAGGTGTACACAAGTGGGGAGTGAAAGCATGTGTGGAAGCCTTCCTGCCTTCCCACCTTGCTTCCATCCTTCCAGCACATGCATGAAGCAGTTCCATTAGCTGCCAGTAACCACAGCTTTGATGTGCTAGAAGAACAACGTGCCAGATTATGTTACCAAAATCTAGCTAGGGAGTTGGGGGGTGAGGCAGGTGGTCTTGAGAAATTAGGAGAGTATACGAATGTAAAACTTATTGGAGATCATTGCTGAAACAGTGTCCGTCATAATCTTAAAAGCCGCAGTTTCTATTCTCTCACTTTGAAGAAGTGAACAGGTTGGTTTTTGTTGACTTTTTAGCTACTTTGCACTACCAGGGTTATGTTCTGCCTGCATGTAAAAAGAAAAAAAACAACAACAAAAAAAAGAGGCTGAGGTTAAATAATACCTTTCCACAGTATATACATCCCTGTCTGGCAAGATCATGTCTTTTACTTTCCATGGGTATTTTGCTGGTTTCTTTTTTTTGCCAACTAAAACTCCAACACATTAGCTTTCTTCGAAGCCTTTTGTAAAGAACAGAGGGCTTCTTATATTGGACTCGAGCCTGTTACAAACCTAACAACTGAATCCCCGTGAAATCACGCTGCTCCTGCAAAATTTGTCAAAAGTGCTTCATGCCTAAAACCAGCTGGAACAGAAGCAAAGCTCAACGTGCCTTCACCGGCTTCAGCGCAATGGAGATGCTGAGACTCGCTGTGCCTGGAGGGGCCGGTACCAGCCTTCATTGCCCAGCTCCGCGCAGCGACGCGCACACTCGCGGCGGGCGCTGGCGGGGGGAGCGGACACGCCAGGTTGCGGCTCCGCGCGGCCGCCGCCTTGTTT